ATTAGGTAAGTAATTGTGTAATAATGGAAAAACACAGAAACATTCATCACAATGTTCATTCACTGAGAGCCTTTTCATAATTTCAGTAGTTTTTATTAATTGTCAGGTTGTCGCTATTTCGATATTAAAAGCTTATTTTTTGGGCAACACCTTATAACCTGAAATAACATTGTTTTACGCTGAGTTTTACTGCATGGCCAAATGATTACGGGCGCTCGACTCGCAATCTGAGGGTCGCGGGTTCGAACCCCCGTCTCACTAAACATGCCGTGGGGGTGTTATAAAGTGACGGTCAATTCCACTATTCGTTGGTAAAAGAGTAGTCCAAAAGTTGGTGGTGAGTGGTGATGACTAGCTGCCTTCACTCTAGTATTTCACTGCTAAATTAGGGACGGCTAGCGTAGATAGCACTCGTGTAGCTTTGGGTGAAATTCATAACAAACCAAACCAATCAGTTGTGTAGAAGAAACAAAGGCTACCATCTATATATGAAAGTCGCGAGCTCTAAGAGTCGGTATAAATACATGACTAGACAGAATACTTTGTGTATGATATTCCAGTCTCTGAGTGGGTAGAACTGGTCCAAGTGCATGATGAAGTCTATGTTTATCAATGTAATATTTTCTTAATACAGTATTGATTTAAGTTTGAAGAATGATTATAACCACTAGAATTCTTCGAGGAGGAATTGTTTTGGAGACTTTTACAAAATAAAAAGAAACTGAAACATGTAGAATAAAGAGCTCTCTCTGATTCGATAAGGTTTCATGCTTTTCGAATCGCCAGTTAATTTTGAGATCCAGAAGTTGAATAGCATTTAGTCTCAGGAGCTGAAACGTCTGGTGTATATACACGTATATATATAACATATAAATGTTGTGTGTATATACATGTATATATATATAACATATAAATGTTGTGTGTGTATATATACATATATATATATCTAACATATAAATAATTTACTCTGCACCCTGAAAATTTTCCAGTTCGACTAAAAAAAGTATTCGGATATCAAAGAGAGATTCATTTTGTTCGAAATGTCATTTTCTACAAAAACATCGACTTATCATGTAACAAACAGACGTCTGTCTCCGGATCGTACTGTGTTTCGAGATGTTGTTTTCTGCTACATGTCGATGTGCAAACTAACAAACCGACGCCTGTCTCCGGGTCGTTCTCTGTTCGGATCAGAATCAATCTCGGTTCCATTTGTTATGTATAGCAAAACACTTTAAAGAAAAGCAACCTCTCTGTGGTTCTATATGTAAGAAGATATAATATATGTTCCACAGAATAGCGCGTCGTGTCTTTCCTGTAAAATTGCCTTTTGTTTTCGTGCAGTTCAGACATTATTTTGTAAAGAAAATTACGTGAGAATTAATTTATAATTGCAATTTTAACGTATTCCTAATTTGACGATAATTACTTGGTTTTGAAGATTACATTTCCAGTTAATTATCAGTTATTATACGGATAATAAAATTGACTTTTTTATTTTTTATTTTTATCAAAAATGAAATTTAAATCTATTATTTTTTTACCGTTAGAAATGGTCTAGCGGTGTTTACCTAACATCATCTTATACTGTGAGATTTGGCCTAACTGTGTTTATCTAACATCATCTCATACGTGAACTTTGGTCTAGCTGTGTTTATCAAACATCATTTTGTACCGTGAGTTTTGGTCTAGCTGTGTTTATCTAACATCATCTCATACGTAAACTTTGGTCTAGCTGTGTTTATCAAACATCATCTCATACCATGAAATTTTGTCTAACTGCATTTATCTAACATCGTCTCAGACCATGAAATTTGTTCTAGCTGTGTTTATCTAACATCATCTTATACCGTGAGAACTGGTCCAACTCATTAATTTAATATTATCTCAGAACAGCACGTGGTGCCTTCACTGTAACAATAATAAATATCAGATTCACCACATTTCAAACTGTTCGTGATAATTGCATAAATCCCTAGCCATTATCGCTTTGAAGTTCATGTCCATTTCTACAGAAAAACACTTTCGTTTCGTACGTAACGTGCTAAATTTTTATATTATGTACAACGTAATACTTCAGTTAATTGTAATCAAAGTGACCAGAATGTTTACCACCAGGTGCGTTTAATCTATTTTTTTTTTCAGAATTAAAAACGAAGCACAATTTACTTTTGATAACAGCGTGAATTATTCTTCAGTGAAAGCAAACAACACAATCCCTGGAACTTTACTAACATCTAATGGTAATGTGTTACGTGTTTTGTTGCAAACTATAATTGCTTACTACTTACCAGTTCAGATATTCTCGTCACAAATTTAATTTGAATTTAATCAGATGTAAATCAAACTAATGAAATGAGATGCCATTAGTAACCAAACTTTAGGATAGATCCAAAGGGATAGAGAGTTGCGGTTTCATAATTTTAATTTGCACCTATTTATTTAACCATGTCCCCAAACACCACAGAGAGAAGCAAAGTAATTTAACACCAGAATGATGGTTGTATGGACGTAAAATACATGAAAAAGTATTATAGCACAGCACTATATTTATATATAAAAAAACTTTTGTTTGTTTGTTGTTTTCAGATATCCATGAAATGCTACACAAGGACTACTTTGATAGTGTCACCAATCTTTAACTGATATACTAAAGGGAAGGCAGGTAGCCAATAGCACCGACCGCCTAATTTTGGGCACCTCTAACCGAATAGTGGGATTTGACTGTCACTCTTATAACGCACCCACGGCCTCAAAGTGCAGAACACAACTTTGCGGCAACAGGATGCGAACCGTGGATCTTTGTATTCACAGTCTACACGCTAATAGCTAAACCAACGAAGCCCCCCCCCCCAAAAAAAAAGAAAAAACGACAAACAAACAAAAATATCTCAAACCCGTATGAAAACATGTTTGGTGTTTTGGAGAATAATGTTTCCTAGGCTCCCACAGTTGAATTTTTGTGTATTTTAAAATATATTTATCGTATAGAAAAATATCAAATACCCCTTTTAAAGAAAGTTACATAAGCTATAAAAATATTGTTACCCTATAGAAAACATGTAAAATGTACCTTAAAACTTATTTCACTCCCACGGAATTATAATACTATATGTAAATTATATTATAAAAGCACGCAATCGCAGTGACCTAAACGAATATACTTCAAAATAGCCCAATAATGATTAATAATTAACATGAATGGCTGTGCCTGAAAAGTGGTATTTGGCTCCCCTAGCGGCCTCTTCATTTGTTTCTCATAATTTATCCTCAGAGAATTCCTTTTATAAAACTCACATAAATATTCATTCTGTGTACTATTCTGTAGAAGTGCTTGAATTATAGTGACTTAATAATAAGAAACTATTTCAAGCAGCTCTGAGTCACAAACCGCCAAAGTTATAGAATATGTACTCTATATTCGGTTAACGCGTCTTTCATGTCACGAATGTTTGTAAATTAATAAGATGCGAACAGACCAATAAAATTAAAGATAGTTCAAAAAAAAATCAAATAATAAACTTTCCAATGTGAATCATCTCATATGCTTGTTGTTTTAAAAATTTACCATTATAGATTATTTTCATTTTAAGATATAAAGCGAATTAGGGTTAAATATCCACTTTCTAAACAAGATACAAAAACCTTATAATATCTGGGAAGAAAGATTACACTCAAACAGATTAAGAAAACGAGCATAAAAAGTAAATACATCTAAATACATTTAAAACTTTCCTGGCGATTAGAAAACCTGATGCGTATATAGAAGACGTAAATCATTTTGTATCTATACCTGACGAAACGTCATGTCCATGAAATATTTTTTTTTCTTTCTCATATTATAAATTTTTTTTTCATAAATACGGACAAACATTTTTGTTTGCTAAATGAATGTTTGTCGTTTGAAAATATGTTCAGAGTATGTCAAAGAAACACAGGTGATTCTGCAGGAAATTACAATTAAAATATAACTCTAAACGTACTTCTGTAAATGCATAGATAATCCGTTAATAATCACGTTGTCAACGCGTTGAAAACTAACAACTGTTAGCGAGAAAATAGTTCGTTACAGATGTGATCAATTAGACAAGGAGAATCTAGCGGAAACAAAGAAGTAGGAAATAATACTGATACAACAGAATACAAACATTTACATTTAATTTAGTCTAAGGGAACTAATGACGTAATATTGATTGTCTTGTAATGATTTACCTATATTACGAAATCGAGGCTTTGAATTTGAAATGGTGCTATGTTTGCCAGTTGGCACAGTACTAAAGAAGTAGTTTTCGGATGGATATAAACCTGAGTTAAGATATAATGGTTTATCATGTTTTAAAGAAGTAGTTTTCGGATGGATATAAACCTGAATTAAGATATGATAGTTTATCATGTTTTAAAGAAGTAGTTTTCGGATGGATATAAACCTGAATTAAGATATGATGGTTTATCATGTTTCATTTGTAAACATCTGTTGGATTATTTTCATCATAAACAAAAACTACGTTTCTGTTTACATTATCAATGTAATAAATCCTCTAAAGGCTTTTGAGCATTTTATATATACTTATGTGTAATTGTCTGACCGTTTCTCATGCAAGATGTTTAAAAGATTACTTCAAAGGAACGGCAGAAAATAGCGCCGAAAACATTAGACATTGGATATTTTGGCACCAGGACTCATTGCTTGAGAATACTGATTATGTAACGTGTTCTATACAGACTTAACATGATTCATAAATCACCTTAGTGGTTATAACACTCTATAAAAACAAACAATATTTTAATTAATACGATTAGTATTGGAACTTGTATGCATCTATTAAGGAAAATGTTTTCTAATAATTCGGGTTGACATCAAGTAGTAAACAATACCCACGTTTCATACGTTGTTATATACACGTTTACATATATGCATACAGTTCTAGAAACACCCCAATGTACCTATTTTTTCTTTTTTTTACAGATTATTAGATATACACGAGAAACGAAACCAGTACCTTTAGCCATAGGTGTTATCATGAGGATGTTTGCACATGCGGCTCCATGACCCTGACCAAATATCGTCACATTATGTGGATCTCCGCCAAACCCGTCAATGTTTTCCTGTATCCAGTGTAGAGCTGCTACTTGGTCCATAAGGCCATAATTTCCTCGAGCAGATCCCTCTGTTGCTGGGAAAAAACCTAGAAAAATATATACAATATATATTAAGATTAAGCATGGAAATTCGTCTTCTTGTGACTGAAGTTTCTCCATATTAAGTATAAACAGGAAGATAAGGACCTTCTGCTTATGTTAAGTTTTAAATCAGTTTCATTCTTATCAAATATTATGTATTTTAAAACAGATTTAAAAGCAACTACCCAAAATCATTAAATATAATCGAAAATATTTTCTGCAGCGACACCATTTGTTAAGAAATATAATTAGAAATAATAGATGCAAACTATACTGAAGAACATTTTTGAGTAGGGATCGGCTTTACATTTCAAACCTTCTCACTTTCTGAACCCCATAATTGCTGAAACAAAGATTTTTAAACCTTGTTTGTTTGCAGTTAAGCACAAAGCTACACCATGGGCTATCTGTGCTCTGCCCACCACGGGTATCGAAACCAGGTTTCAAGCGCTGTAAGTCCGCAGACATAGCGCTGTGCCACTGGGGGACTTTTAAACCTTAAATAGCTACTTTGGAATGAAACGTCAATTATGCAACGAAATTTTTCTACGTTATATTATGGCAGTATACATTTTTCTTATGCCTTTTTTGTGGTGATCTCATTCATCAGATATAATCTAATCAGTATTAAAAATTGATAAGTATATTATACTATACATAATTCTCCCCCTAGACCAATTGAAAACCAAAACTCAATTTTACAGAAAAGCTAGAAAAAGTTGCCTAGAAACAGGGTACAAAGTCATTAGTTATTTTATCTGTATTAATATTTGAAGACTGAATTCATCCTGACCTATTTCAGATGCATACAGACAGATGGAGGAACAGAGAGCACTAGTAAGTTTACGTTTGGAAAATGACACTTTATTTCAGATTTTAGTGTCCTGTTTTCAACTGCGTGCACAAATAACAATATCGTATCATCAGCCTTTGAAAATTGTCAAATAGTCTAAATCAGAGTTAACCTTCGTCATATTTTTGTGAAGAGATTAAAGAAAACAAACGGATACTAAAAGAGATAGAGATAAACTCAAATATTAAGGCATCACATTTCTTTATTAAAACTTGTAGCATAGCTGGATAGAGACTTATCATATAGCAAAAGCTTAAAGTAAGTATTCTTTCTTTCAAGTTTTTACGTATACGTATTCAATTTTGATTCTAAATCCTAATATTTGAGGATAAAATATAAGACGAAAGCCACGTGTATTAACTTATCACTTTAACATGTTCAACTTAAGATATTCAGGACACAATTTTGGTATAAACTATTGTTAAAATCTAATGTATAGAGTTGAGATTTTTAATGACACGTGCAAATAATCTTAGCCTCTTCTTACATGTTTTCAACTTCACTGCTAACTAAGTTTTTTACTTACATTGGGTAGAATACGAATAGATATATTAATAGGTAGATATTAAGAAAGAAATAGAAACACACTCACACATATATATAAATAGATAAATACATGGAAAAAGAGAAAAATAAACGGACAGATAAACAGATAGATAGACAAAATACGCTATAATCGTGTATATGTATATATATATATGTATGTATATATATATATGTATATATATATCAGGTTCGTAGATAAACGAGCTCACTAAGTTATGGCATTTCTCTGTTCCAGATCTTTAAACCAATGATTTATTATATTTGTCCAAATAGTAATGATTCGTTAAAAATAATAACATGTTATTCGCTCCATTGACCGAGACGCACAGTTATCAGAGTGAGTTCCTTGGCACACAACGCAACGTTATCCTTAAAATATTTAGGAGGCCAATCTTCATTCAGGACGCTGGAATTTCAAAAACTGATAAAACGTGGATATTATTTCAGACGCTTTAATTTTCCAAAGTAACAGAATAATTTTAAATAATTTGGGACAAAAGTAAATTTTTTTATTCAAATTTAAGTAATTAGGTCTCTGAAGTCAGTTCAATTTTTCAATACTTTTTTTTTTTACAAACTCATACGTCTTAGTTTTCATAACAGTAGTTCTAGGCATCGAGTTTTATTTTAATTTGTTCGACCAACACTCAACGAACTTTCTTAGTTTCAGCAACTTTAGGTTTACAGAAGAGAATTTCAGCAAAATTGGACTTCATAGTGGGTTATTTTCATTTGGGTAATATTAGGCATAAAGAACGGTGTCTTCTTTTACGTTCAATATTAGGCACATGTTACGAAAAATATATTAGCATTTTCTATATTTTAATTATTTCTGCATAGCATTTAATTCTTGCCTACTTCCTACATAACTGATTCCGGTGGTTCAAACTCTTATTAATTATATGTATTTTACAAAAACGGATCATGTGGTTTCACACATTTTACACTTTGCTTGATTGTATAAGCATATCAATAAAATACGTTTCATTGTTACTGAAAAATATATCTTATGCCAATATGTTTATGCAATGTGCTTCTGGATTATGTCCCCGATAAAATTCGAGTTTGTTTCAAAGTGACAATAACATCGAAGCTCTTTTTTAACCGATGTTCCTTACAATGTTTTTATGGTTGTTAACAACTCTATGCCACAGTTCTTTAAGTACCACATAACAAATATACACATTACGTGAAATATTGCATGGAAAATTTACAATGATTGATTTAACGTTCATATTTAAGTAGATGTTAAACTTCCTATCTCGGATGGTTTCAGAGCTGATCAATGACTGTAATACATAATCTTTCATCCCTGACGTTCATTTTTTAAAATCGTATGTAGTATTTTTATTAACTTATTACACAACGACATTGCCAGCTGTTAGTTTTCAACACATTTTTATGGTATAATTTCATACCGTTTAAAAGAACAAATATATTGTAGAAAATATTCAATACGTAATAAATACTTCTTTGATTTATATATCATCTGGCAGTCTAAGTGAAAACAACCATATTCATTCATTGTGTTGTACAAATAAATGTTTTACACACACACAGCTAAACTTTAGTTATAAAATTTACGATAACATTTAATCGATTAAAGCCTTTTGAAGAGAGCTTCACCTGGTGGTCTATATCTGCTTTTCACAATAGTTTTACCCCTTTTCTGGTTAAAGATTTTCTAAAAACTATCTTATTCACTATAGATCATAGAAATATTTTATTCCGTACTGCTAATCTATGGAAACTTTACACTTTCAAAGAGGCGTAAATAAAATACATATCAGCATATTAATAATAAAATAAAACTCGTTCTTCTATCTAAAATAAAGTAATATTAAGCCCAATCTGGATTATAATAATCCAAGTATAATACAACAGTCACTTTTAAGAGGTCTCACTAATTGAATATACTATAATTTCATAGTTATACAAGTATGCCAAACCACTTTAATAAGATAAAATCATTTTTACATTTTTAAATTAGACTTCATCAACGTGTTTTATCGTAGCGCCCGTCTAATGGCAAAAATATATTTACGAACATACTAGTCTCTGCGTAATGTAAGCATGGAACTTGAAAGTAATCCTACGTTTCGCGTAAGAGTTATCGACTAGCACAGAAAATTTAACGTCGGGCGAGAACCTCATGGCTCGTTCCGTTCTTCTGTTTTTCGTATTTATATATTAATTTAAAACAATTATGATGAATAAATATCCTTTATACTAATTTTAATGTGAGTTGTCTATTTCTAATATTGTATTTGGAATGCTTGCTTCTTCAGCAACATATCGGAGTAATATAATCGTCTACTTTATATTGATTGGTTTGGTTTCTAAGTTACATCAATACTTAAACAACGCCAAATAGTGAACCGTTTCGTAATTACAATCTTATTTTCATAAGAGCGTTTTATTTCTATTCCGTTCCAACGTCTTACCTAACACTCCAAGTCTGAAGTTAACGGTAACAACGACGACGTTACCATAACTTGCTAGTACACTTCCATCATAAGGGTTCCTGAGTTCCAGAAGAAAGATTCCCCATGAATATAAACCATCACAGGTAGCTTCACAGGCTCTCTGGCAACTGAGAACATGAAAGGAAAGAAAAATATATCAAATTAAACAATTTTTAGCTGAATGATTATTATTTTTGAGAGTGCAAGATCTATCATATAGATAGTGGTTAAAGTAATCGTCACCATTCAAACTAAATATACAGATTACAAAAACACAAATTCTAATTTTAGATGTTCTGCCTACTCGTGTGACCTTAAATACCTGCTATCGGACTTCATATCACTAGACACAATAAAATTGGACTTCATATCACTAGACACAATAAAATTGGACTTCATATCACTAGACACAATACAATTGGACTTCATATCACTAAACACAATAAAATTGGACTTCATATCACTAGACACAATACAATTCAGTGTCACGTGCTCAGTAGTAATTAGAATATTATTTTTATATAGATACAGAAAGGACAACTAATCTGAAACTAGGAATGTTTATTCAAATTATTTCGACGATATGTACGTTGTACGGAGGATTAATCAAATTTCAAAAGAACGATTTGTATGTTGCAATGCAACAGTGTGTTTTATATATTTGGTTTACGAGGTATTCCCTGCTATTTAACAGTGCAAGGCCGCAACTGTTAGACTTATTGCTAAAAGACTAGAAAGGTCTTTCTAAAGAGAAGTATTTATAGACCATAAATTCGAAACAAAAGGCAGAATATTTTATAGTAGAGAGTTTTCAATAGAAGCAAAAAATCTCGCACACAAAGAGTGAGGACAGCAATGGGTTCTAAAGCAACACCCTCAAACCTATCAGAATTAATGCTTTCACTTGTAAAATAAAGGCTATGGTTAGGAAAATGTTTCCGTCGATTCAAAATGTCATTGAGACGAAGCTGGGCATATCTCCTTTAATCGTCGGTAAGATAATTATGAAGGATTTCAAGTTGACGACCGCAAACCTACAAAGTTCGTATGTTGCCAGCCACATCTCGAAATCAATATATGTTTTAATGTGAAAAATGACAGAAGAAATTTGGATCACAGCAATCCTATTCCATCATATATTTGGAGCTCCAATGTATTACTATGTGTTTGGTCTACTTAATCCAAGATTTTCGATTATTTGTTCGTTTTGATCACCTGAAAGACATTTCATGCAGACAATAGGCTAAACAGCCAGGTTAGACATAGGTATTCTTCATTTTGAACTGCGGCCCAGAGAGAAGGCAACAAACTGACAAGACCCACAAGAGTATTGAATGTCACTCTTATAACGCACACAGAGCTGAATGTACGAAGCGTATTTAATTGGTATCCAATTGCAGATAGGTCCATTCCAACTGCTTTTTAAAAACATTTCTCTATAGTATTTATGTACCCAATTGTTTGTGGGTCCAACACTGTTGGTCACAGGTCCTCAATAACGCATGAGTCACACAAAAATATAAATACCATAAATATTCAATTAGTCCATACTGGTGGCGTCTCCTATGAATTTTCTATACAAAATGAGTGATCTTACCCAATCGTTTTAGTCATTTCCTTACACTTAGTGTCGTAACAGGCAAAAAACAAACAAACTCAATATGATGTAATATGTACCTGATGATGACAAAACCTTGTCGAAACGTTG